TATGCATATATATATATAATATGTATATATATTCATATATATATACACATATATTTATAGGCCTACACACATATATATATGCCTATTATTACATAATAAACACAAACAAAGGCCGTTATAGTTACTCTCCTCAAAGGATGCTTTGCCTATTCGAAAATAGAGATCGATTTTCTAGTTCATTAATGCTGTTCTGGTTCCTTAACGATTGAATTATTTTGCTTGCATTGTAATTCATTTGATAATAGGTTCTGTGAAATATGCCTAGCTTGAGCCGGGTTTACTACTTAGAGTTCATGGCTCATTGGCATTGTTCTCTGGTAGTAATGAACATGGTCAGCTCACTACCCTCATTGACGTGCAAAGTCATCTGAGGGGGAAATGCCATTTATTGTAGGCCAAGCAAGTAATTTTAACCTCCTATTTCATTAATTATGAGATTTCATTAATGTGATTGCCTACAGCACGTGTTGTGTGTGTATTGTGTGTGACACATGTAAAATAAAATCTTTAACCTGCTCTCGTTAATGCTAACTAATAAGATATAAACGTTAAAAAGTGAAATTTTCCAAGGGGAAAAATTTGGTCACACCGGGGTTCGAACTCCGGCCTGTACTGTCTATTTATGCGCCTTGGCCACGGAGTCTTCGTTGAGAATTTTAAGACAATTGCACTCACTTGCACATGTAAAAATCAACGAAAGTTCTCATCGCACTGCAAAACGCCCTCTTCTTGGTTACCTATACTTTAAATTCAATAGTAGATTACCAGCCCCCAAATATATAATTTGTTTTTATGTTCATGTTGCTTTAATTAAACATTTTTCATTCACAATGTTTTTATTTTTTAGGCAATAATTTCAGAAGATTCTGAAAATATCCGCATCAAAATGGAACTAGATCAAGTTTTAACGAAATTGGGTGAATTTGGTCCGTACCAGAGAAGAGTCTACCACTGGTATTGCATGCTGACGTTGTCTGTTGCATTTCATCACCTTGCACAAGTATTCTTAGGAGGTTTTTCTGATCATTGGTGTACAGTGCCTTCGTCTAACACAGATCTAGACTGTACAGAATTTAGATACAGTGATTGTGTTGATGTGGACTGGGGAAATGACGTCAATGAAACCCAGTGCAGTTTTTACTTTGGCCAAAATTTTGGAAATGAAACGGGTACAATTGAGTGTCTTGATGGTTACACGTTTGATCATTCTCAATACACGAATACTATCCAAGAAGACGTAAGTAAAACACTTATTTTCGAAGAAATGCTAAATTGATAGTAGGTAAATATGAATTGAATGCGCATTTTGTTTTGGCCACCCTAGCAGCTTTATTTTCTATCATATTACATTGTGAACATTATACTTTTTCCTTCAAAGAAACTAAATGCGCTTTATGATTTATAACAACAAATGTTCACTCATACACCTGTTGGTAAGCATATCAACGCAGAGACATAAGCCTGTTAACTTTTTGTTTTGGCTTTTTACCACAGGCTTACTTAATTTCTGAGAAACGAATTCTGGTAATACTAATTCATTAACTGGATTTGATACAAAGAAACCGAATGATTATTATTATTTCTGTGCCGTGCACATAAATTCGCAGTACTATGTGTTTGTTCATCCAGACCCCAGTTCTAAACTATGTACTCGTAGATTTACAGACTGTGGATTAATTCGCCTTGTTGGGAAAGATGTTCTTCTAATAAAGTGATTCTGTTGATTTGTTTCTTTAGTTTGGTCTGGTCTGCGATGGAAAGGCGAAGACTGCGTTGGCACAGATGATATATTTCGCCGGAGTGCTTACAGGGTCTGTTGTTTTCGGATCATTAGCTGACTGGTCAGTGTTTGAAATTAAATTTCTGTATATATTTTGACTATAAGTTGCACATATTAAATTGAAATTATAGACATACGAAGCCAGGTTCTGGAGGAAACATTGAAGT